GCAGGGAGCGGCGTCTCGCGGGGGTTGTCCTCGGCGCGCGGGGCCGAGCGGGGCAGGAGCCGCATAGACACGTGCGTGCGGCCGAGCAGGGCACGAGTCTGGAGTCGGCCCCGGCCCCGGCCCCGGCCCGGCCCCGTCCGCGTGAGGGGGAGGGGGAGGTTGAAGACAAAGTTGGAGAAACGCTGATTTTTCCGACTAAAAAAGGACAGGCCATTTCCTTAAGGAGCGGCCGTTTAAACCTTCGACGTCCCCGTTTCTCTTCGTCGGAAGGGAAAGCTTTTAGACAGCCAAAACCCACCCGCGCCTCGTCTGCCGCTGTGGGTCACAGCGATGTTTCTGTGGGCGAGCCGGGTGGGAGCTCGCCCCACAAATGTGTCCCTCCTCCGACCGGTTCTGACTGTCCAAGGTGAAGACAGCGTCTGACAAGTAAAACGAGTGCCCTTAAGTAATGGGAAGTGAAAGGATCTTTCCGGGTCCCTGATTTGAAGAAGGAAGGTGCTAGGGGGAGAAGCTCTGGTTTGGCTTCTCTGTAACTCTGGGCGGTTCTTCCTCCCTCCCCCCGGGCAGCTGCAGTGCTTTCTGACACGGGTCCTTTTAACGTGTTCGGCGCATCTCTCTTCGGCAAATGGAGCTGTCTTAAGGAGCCTTGAAGTAGGCGTTTGGGACTAGTCACTTTTAAAAATCTTGGCTAGGGATTAGGTGCGTGGTTTGCGCCTCTCCCCTTTTAAACTAAACTGCAACAGCAAGGGCACCTCTGCTCGGGGACATGGGAATCATGTGGCTGATCCATATTTAAACTGGAGAGAGCGCAGTGGAAAGATCCTGGTAGTCTGCACGTATCGCTGGTGGAGCCGTGTGATAACTGGTGTAGTATCATATCAGGCTGCCTAGCACACCTGCGAGTCGCTGCAGTCTCCTTCCGTGAGACCTCGCCGTGCAAATAATCAGTGTGGCAATCCTACTGACGTCATGCTGTCCTGTCACAGCCGCCTGAAATCCTTCCTTGTTTCCTGGTCGCTCCAAATGTGGAAAGCGCGATGTTTCATTAAAAATCCTTAGCCCCCTGGGGTAGTGGGGGCTGCTCTGGCCCAGCACCAAGCGGAGGAAAGCACCTCTCTCGGTAGCAGGAGCTGCCTCTCAGGCCCTTCGTGGATGGGAGAGCGCTCTGTGCTACCAGCCTTCGAAAACTTACAGATCATTTTCTAACAATGCTGTTGCAGGAGATTGTCAAACCTGGCTGCTTTTCATGTCCCCGGGGCTATGCAGTGCAGTACTCGAACCATACAGTGCCCCGTGCCTGTCTGATGTGGCTGAATGACTTGGGAAGAGTAGCCTGGACATCGGACATCACCCACAAAAAGGTGCCCTGCCACGTGGACGGGGGCGGGCCTCAAGTCCGGACCCCCTGGTCTTGTCGCTCGCTTGCCCATGACCCCGAGCAAGTTGTGGGAGACTCGAGCGCAAGTCCCTTCTTCGTCCCTGTGGGTGGTTTTCTCTGGGGTTGTCTCAAAAGACAGTTTTGCCACAATGTGGACTGAAAGCCTCAACTTTTTTTAAAGCAGTTCTTGTTTTCTGGCCACCCTAATGGAGGGGGTTGGTTAATGCCCGTGGGTTCTGCTAGCAAACGGTGCAAAGGGTTTTGGGGTGAACATGGCCCAGCTCCCACCACCTCCCCTTAAAACTGCAGAAAATATTCCCGCTGAATCAGTGGGGAGGTGGATCAGGCCTGCGGCAGGGAAGGGGCTGGCAGCTGCCTGCGTCTCCTGAGACCAGCAGATTTAGCCACACTTCTGCAAACTCAGTTTTTCCAGGGACTGTTAGCGTGTGATCTTGTAACAAGGTTTCCATAAGCGCATATAGAGAAAGAGTGATCTGCCTCTAGCCCCCTAAAGAGAGCTCGGCAAACAACATGCACATCTGTCTGCCAAGCTGCAGCCACGTATTTATGGGCCATCTCCCCCTGGCTGCTCAGGTGCCTGCTCTCCAGGCTAGCTAACATACTCGTGTTGGAAGTATTTAGGGTCATGCATAGCATCCATCCGAAACCCGGATTAAAGCCCAGGGGCACAGATCATACCAGCAGTACTGAGGAGATTCACCCTGCATAAGGAGCCATCTTCTGCTCTGTGCTGTCCTTCAGGGACGCCAGTAGGAGCCAGCTGAACCCAACGCTTCTGCCTCTTCTCCCCCTCGTGTAAGTCCTGCCTGGACTGGTCTTTGTGTGGCCAGGAGCAGTGGGTCAGGGCAGTTTGTCCATGTCCCGGCAAAAAGGGGCACCTGGGACTTGTGGGGCTGCTGTAGCAACACAGCCAACAACGTGGCACCACCTGTAGCTTCTCCAAAATGGAGTTTCCCGGGTAGTTGAAAGTAGCTGCGCAGTCCGGTTCAGCGCCAGGGGCTCACCACTGACTGGGCTCTCGGGTTACATCAGCTCAGTGCCCTTAAAGGGGCACGCCATCCCAGGCAGCCTCCGACTAGTACCCCACGGTACACGCACCGGGGCCAGGGGGGTGGCGTGTGGGCAGGCACGGGCCCTGGAGGCTCTGCTAGTGCTTGCCTAGCTGAGTGCCAGGTGGAAACCGTGCCCTCCTAGTGCACGCGTGACGGAGAAAGGGTGCACTGTGCGAGAGCGCAGCATGAGTGTGCGCCAGGCAACCTGTGCAGCACAGGATGCAGCTCTTTTAGGCAAGAGCTCAGCAGCTGGGTAAAAAAAAAGGTGTGGGAGAGGCGAAGGGTGGAACAAATCAGCAGTTGAAACCTGCAGAGGAAACCACAGCGACTGAGGCTGAAACAACCCTGTGCCCTTGTCCCACCCTGGCCCCAGAAAGTGCAAATGTTGTCTGTGTCCTCTCCCTTCCTCTAAGCAAATGCAGGGCTGGGTGCTCCTGGGAGTTCGAGGGAGCATCTTTTGGGTGCTGCAGTTCTCCAAACACTTGGGCCCAGTGACTTTTTTTTTTTTTTTTTTTCTTTTTTTTTCCACCCCCTTTCCACAGTCCCAGAGCAGCGTGAGGTGTTTGTCACACTGGGGTTGGACTGCAGATGTGGCATGCTGGGGCGCTGTGATCACCTTGGTTTGAATGAGCTGCATCTGCCTCGGAGCCAGCAATCTCTGGTCCTCTTGATGCTGGGACGACTTTAGTGCCTTCCCATCATCGGGCCTGGCACCTCTTGGCCCTACATCTTCCCCTTCGAAGGCCTGAGTGAGGGTGAAGCCGTAGCCTGGGGGACCTGAAGCTTAGCTCATTGATAAAGCCTTGTCCTCTCCTATATTCCGATGTGGGGTTGGTGATGGGGGTCCTGGCACAATGCTGGGTGCGTGCCAGGCAGCCTGGTGTCGTCAGACCGGTGTAGGACTGTTGGGATTTTCCTGGAATCTCCTCTTTATCCGTGATGCCTTTTGCCATTCACTCCATTTCAGCTATTTCCCCGTTTCACAGACTCTTGGATGTATGGGCTAGAAAGGGCCACGATGATCTTTGCAGACTGCCTACCTTGCTAGGGTGACTGTTTTTCTGGTCTCCAAATGGGAGAGTCTGCTCCCCACACTGCTGTCTGCCACGCTCGGCTGTCTCGGCTGAGTGTGCCACAGTGTGCGAGAGGGAGGGTCACAGGGAACCAGTCCTGTTCTGAACACCCGGCTCAGGAGAACAAAAGTGTTCATGTGGCCAAGGCCACAGGGAGCTCCAGTCAGGTGTCTGCAATGGGACCATCCTGGTGAACGTAGACGTGTGGGAGCATGGGGTCACCCTGTGCGTAGCACGGGCTGGAGGGCTTCCCCTGGCGGCGTGGGATCGGCTGGCAGCTGAACCAAAGCAAGACTGTCTCTGTGCTTCATCCTGACGCTGCGGTGGTCGGGCAGCTGGCAGTCCAGGGGGCTGTGCCAGCCCATAACACTGAAATGGCAAGAAAAATTCAGGGTAACATTGCTGGGGTTGGGTTCATAAGGCCCGATCCACTGCTCCCAAATCCATCCGAAGGTGTCCCTTGGATTGGAGAAGGGCAGACCGGGGAATGCAGAGATGCCAGCACAGAAGTGGAGGCAGCCCCAGCGTGTCTGACAAGTTACCTCTCCTCCTCCTGCATTCCTGTCCGCTGATGGATGCAGATTTCGTGACTTCCTCCAGGCATCAAGTTCACTGTTGCTGGGTAACATGAGATCTGGGCTTCATTGGCCATCCCGGCTCGGATCTGCTGCCCAATGAGGTGCAGCCTTTGGCGTCTGGCAATTAAACAGCAGATTCCCCACGTCCTTGTGGGGGAAGCGAAGGGGCCACGGGCGTGTGGAAAGGAAGCGGAGGGAAGGCAGGCGGAGGAGGCAGGAGGTGCAGGGCCTGGCTCCTGTGGCCAGGCGGTGAATGGAAAAGCACGAGGGCAGCAGATCAGTCTGCGGGCGGAGGCAGTTCTTGCAAAGACGGGATTAACAGGCCA